TAAGACTTTCGATGATGAAATTAGGAAAAAAGCAGAAGAGAAGTTTACTGGGTGAATTTCATGAATTAAAACCAAAAAAGATTACGGACTAAGGGAAATAAGAAATAATTATTTGAGCCTTGTAATTTATTCTCAATACAAAATAAACACTCCATAACAATGCAATCTTTCAAAGCTTTTCTTTCTCAAGAAAAAACGAGGAAGCATATTCATAATTAGCTTAACTGTTCATAATTACCTTAACATCAACACTTGAGTTTCGATAATTTGTTTATACTGATATGATTTCATGGGATATCTTCCTTTGTCATGTACTTTTTGGTTTCATTCAATAGTTAAATTACTTTTGGGGGATTAAATTCTGTTTCTGTCCAGCAATACAATTTCTGCCTGATTATTGCATATCTTACCGGTCGTATGATCCGCATCGTTTACAATACTTTTTTATAACAGACTTCTTGAAATCAAAAAAATATTTTAATACTTTAAAAATAAAATAATTACATATTATGGCAGCTCTGCTACTAGCTCTGGTCTAGGCCAAACTTTGGTTCGATTGCAAAAGTACATGTGGAAAAAAAAATTTGTTTTTTGAAGAAAGTAAATGGAAGTAGCTTGAATTAACATAAAATATGTATGGTATCCTGGATTTCCAGTGAAATAAATTGGATTGAGATTTGGGAGCCTGGTAGCTTAAAGATTTTGGAAGACATAAACTAATTTAAGCAGCTTAAATCTCAGTTAGATTGAAGCCAATTTAGATAAAGCACCTGTTAAAATATATCCTTTTTTTATAAAATAAGATCAAAATTTCACATATGCTTTTTGCAATCGGAATTAAAGTTTGGCCCAGGCCAAAACCAATGGGAGTGCTGCAATCTGCATAGTATGTAATTATTTCTTTCAAAAGTATTGCTACTTTTGTTTATGCTCTTTAAAAAAAAGAAAAAAAAAAAACATAACTTTAATGCGACGGTTCCCGGAAATATCTCACCATTCTGGAACTTTATTTACCGTATTGCATCAAAAAGCGGTAATAGTAATAAAATAAATATGTTTACTAGTACTTGATAGATTTTATCAATGAACTCTTAACAATATCGATCACTTGTTATTTGATAGTTTTCAATTAAAGCATATGGCTCTAATCCCTGGGCGAAATCTTGAATACCAATTTGAAAACCTTCAATGAGCCACAATAATTGTCAAAAAAAGCATATTCTTCGGAAAAAAAAATCCTTCGGAATTTCTAAATTTTTTTTTTTTTTTAGTTTCTCTTTACTACACAATTTTCTTTTCATGCGATTAAGCAAGCTAAGTCATTGAGTAACAAAAGCATTTCTTGGTTATCCTTACCTGAACTTATAATCAATTGCTATTTGTGTTAGTTGACTATTTTATCATCATGCATCATCTCATGCTTGTATTCATTATTCTTTCCATACTTATAAATTAGTAGATGAAAGGTGAAAATCAAAGTACCAGCAGAAAACAAGAAGCGGAAAAGTCGCGAAAGCCTGATATCTTCGACAAACCATAACCATAAAGGAGGGAAGAAATGCGCTTTTAACAAATGATCTATTTTTGAGTGGTTCATTCAACATTTAAATCTTGTCAGGTCCAAACACTGCACTAATCAGGTCTATCTTCCATCCTTTCACACCAAAACGAAGTTTTCATATCTGATTTTGAGAGACATTTAGCGATCACATTGTAAACAATCATACTATGTGCTCTTTGGAGAATTGCGAAAAAAACTTAGAAAAAATCCTTCGAGACTAAGTTTAAACTGTAAATCAAGTTTTTGTAATGGGCTGGGAGGTGCTCTAAATATTTGTATTTCAAACTAACAAAGCAAATCATTCAACTAAGGACAATAGATATGACAGATGGCTTATAAGATATTATTTACCTTGAAGAGGTGGAAAGAATAAGTTAGGTTAAAGCGAGAAATGTAAATTTTAGATAAGTCAAGAAACGACAGAAAGAGAGGGATAGAGAGAAAAAGAAACATTTCGGAATTAGTAAGCCAAATAAGCCAAATATTATAGTTCGTTGAATGAGTACAAATTTCCTCACTTCATTGTTACACTTGCAGGAAACAAAAAACATTTTTAAAAGTAAGTCTCTTCCATTGGCATTCATATTGGAAGTAATCAATAGTAATACGTCATCTTGAACTATTAATTGTAGGACGAAATTTAATATATTCAATGACAATGGTCAATGAAGTTAATAATTTATCATTTCACAACTCAATAGCTTATTGGAATAGAAAAGTAGAATACAGATACAGTGTGCAAACTGCAGGATATCTGTGAGACATGTTTGATCAATTGATAGGATGAGAAAGTGAAAAGCTTGTCTGCGATAGGCCATTAAGCCTTCTTAGAGAAGCAATAGTTAGTTCATATTTATTATAGTTCCAATAATCTGCTTGATAAGATAAGTGTATGGTTGACTTCATCTTAAAGCCTTGACTTAGTGAAAGGAAATGCACCGCACCAATACTAACGGATCGCTCACCCAATTGCGCCTCCTTCCTTTCTAAATGAACCGTTCGTTCCTTCTTCATTCATTCTGCTTTATATCATTGCCAATTGACACAAAAAGGCGTAGTATTCTCATAGGATTACTGCTTATTTCTTCCTTCCTTCCTTCCTCCTCTCGCAATCGTTAACCCAAATAAAAATGTTTAGGCCAACTTTTCTCGAGAGCGGTCACCCATTCCATCTCATTTTTCTTTACCATTGGATGTGGTCTATTCCCTTCCAAATGTACTTAATTCATCTTTCCATCTTTATCTTTCAAACTTTGAATATTATTGATGTTATTAGATAGGTAGATAAATAGATAGTTCGATAAGTAGGTAAATAGATAGATAGCTAGGTAGAAGATAGGTAGATAAATAGGTTTATATCAAACAAGTCCGCTAGTACTTGAATGACCTTGATGGATTTGCCTTGTTTTTGCTTAGCTCTATACTATACAACTTATATCAACCCTAAATAACTACCCTAGAATGCATAATTAGATGAAGAATGTTGATTAGTTCTTATTCGAACTTTATGAATTTGCGAAACATTGAAGAGTTATCCATACTAAGTTCAGGTACATACAGTTTCTTATCAGTAGTCCACCCTGCATTCTTCATTCCCCTTAATTTGACAAATTTCAGTTTGTGCCTTAAAGATAATCATTTGATTCAAAAGGAAGCAATGCAAGATGCATCAGTAAGATTTACTGATGAAAAAGAAGTAAGTATTTCCGAATTGTTATCATAAATTACATCAAATTTTAATTAGTATATTTGTTTCCGACCATTCTCCATTTAGTTGCCAACTGATTAACAAATTTATCTGCCATTAACTTCTTATCATCACTCTCCGGTATACATCTTAAATATTCTAAATCATATCTATTCAAATTGGAAACAGTGCAGCTTTGAATAAAGTTGAATTGAACATTTTGGATGAAAGGAATTGGCTGAGTCATTAGTGGCTTAGATCTAGACTTAGAATAATAGAATAAGTTTTAGGGATTTAAAAAAGTACCACTTAAATTATGCAAAATTGATTTTTTCATCCAAAGTAAACTTTCAAAATGATGATGGTTCTATTTCCTTTATGTGATCCTTTGGTGGAACTCTTTTTCTGTGCTTTTCTTTTTCTGAATCATTTTACTTTGTCTTTTGCTACTTTCTATGGGTTAAAACTTTAGCCTAAATTGATTTTTAGCAAATATTTGCAAAATATCCGCTGATAACTCTTTAGTTTAGCTTCCTGTTAGAAATTACTTAATTATTTGGTTTCCACTGTTCACATCTGCTACAGGAACATTTATTTCTCGCTTTGATCTTTTCCTCCTCTTAATCAATTTTTCCAGAATGTAAAAATACGGTGAAAGGATGAAAGATAACGGATAAGTTCCTTTTCTTCTCTTCCCATTCATAAACAAATGAAGAAACATTTTAAGTAAGATTTCAGTATAACTTTGAATTGCGAGCAGACAGGTGATATCATCAGACTAACAAAACCAAATTTCGATAAAAAAATTCTTCACCAATAGCACAATTTCATTTTACAAAAAAAAGAGAGAAAAAAAAAATGAAATACATCAGTGGTGAAATTGCGGAAAGCAATTCACGGAAAGAAATGTGATCACCATACGAAATGGCTTTTTATATTTAGTTGTCTTCTTTCAACGAAATCTTACGACTGGTTGGTAAAGTGCTAAAATAATAGTACGGACAACGATCTTGAAATGCAAGGATTGATAGGTCAATAACACATACGAAAAAGTTAAAAGAGTGACAAGAATATTTGCCATAATAATTGGCGACATAGTTTTTAGAAATAAAATACGAGAGGGTTTTCATACAATTTACATATTGAAATGAAACTACGGATGTGAAATGTAATTAATTTGAAAAAAGTTTATATGAAAGAGACTATGAAGAAAAATTTCTTCTGGTTCTATCGCTTCCTTTTCCAATAAAATTCTTGCAGAGATTTTTTCTAAAATAAATTATTGTGTGAACTATTATTTAGTTTTATTTGCTCATAATCAGAGCATTTAAATTGCTTGTGTAAGATGAATTGAGATGATCGTTTCTTTTTTTTCCTAGTCTCTCACTATCCTTTATTATGAAATTTAGCGACCTACTGCTTCAAACTCTGATTGCGCAGTATCATTTGGACAGTTGCAACCTCATTATGTGGTACGCAAGGTATGTCTTCATAGCTTTAAATAGCATTTTGTTAAAATTTCACGCTAATAAATTTAGTTGGAACTTTTCAAAACCTAAAAAGTTTCCAGTTTTTTTGTTGTATTTGACTGTAATTAAGGATTCAAAAGCGCAATAAAATGAAGATCGTTTGAGCGATGGGTACTTATAAGATCATTTCTTTTCAAGCCATTAAGACATAATTCATTTTATTAATAACTTGAAATGTTATTTCCGATTGATTTAAGGTTTAATTCAAGTTCAGATCTCTGGAATGTCTTCTGGTCTACATGAACTTGGTGAAACTAGTAAAAGCAATGAAAATTTCAAAGGTAAGATGAAGTGGGTAAATAACTTTGTTTCACAATATTAAGCGCAGAGAAGCGTGGTACTTTAAAGAATTTCGTAATCTGAGCAGTGGTTTGCTAAATAGCCTTCACCGCTCTTGAAATTTTATGACTTAAGATAATAGCTTCAATAGAAAGAGCTTAAATGCACTAATAAAATTTGATTTCTCGAGGAAGGATCTAAGAGAAGTTTCATTTACTTTTGCTTCCTTAAATCTGTTTGTGTCCTTAACTTTTATTTTTGTAATTGGAATCCATTTAAGGAACACAATTGTAAGGCCTTCAAATCCTCTGCATATTTCCTAGCTTAGACAGTGTACAGGCGGTAAATGTATTTACTTGGGATGTGCAACTTCATCTGATGTGCAACCTTGGATTGCCTTAACATTTATTCTCTATAAGACGTTTGAGTTTCGTTTTTCATCAGTTTACCCAGTGGCAACAGATATGAATCGATTAATTACCAAATTAGTTCTTAATATTATGAATTGCAACTGGGACATTAGGCAATTAGTGATTGTCGCAGCAGTTCAAATTAAATTTAGGAAATTTGGTGCAACTAACTAGAATTTAAGGGAAAGAAAATGAAAAATTTTGCATCCAACTGTAATAGGCAGTGAAAAATAACGATTTTGAGAACTGAGAAATTTAACTTTAAAATTTAATAGTAAATGATACGTGGGGCATCATCGGTCAGAAGGGATAAGGTCAATGTCATCATCAATTTTAACGAATGTAAATCGAGGAACGCTGTAAAACATTTGGTTCCTTCCTTAGCATCCCAATTATCATCAATGTTCATCGGAATAACAAATAATTACAAAATGAAAAAATAACAAATACTTCTCAACGGCACTGTTTTTAAAATGTTAAAGTTGTGGGCAAAACTATTTGTCACAATAGTATAAGTCACTGGTATGACCAATTATCATTCTGTATAATCTTAGACAAGAATGTTAGAGAAGACCATCCAATCTCGATTAGTAATGTCTAGTTCGATCTGGGGAAAATTATTACATGTCAACTGAAGAGTGGTAATTAATGGTATTAAAATTTTTGAACATTGAAGTTTCATAAATTTAGAATTGTTCATTTTGTTGAGTGCTCTAGCAAGGTTCATTTTGTTGAGAGCTCTATCGAAATACAGTATTTCTTTGCAGTTATTCTAGATGTTTTTCAGATTTGGTAAGGAAGTACTGTCATGACGGTCGAAGGTTTAGTGATGACTGTCATTATGCTTTATACATCAAAACATTAGATCGGAAAATACCCAACAAAGAAGTACAGCAGAATAGATGTAGTCATTTCTCGGATATTGGAGCACTTTGTGAAACATGTGCAAGACATCCATTTGTTAATGGTACCTGCTTGAAAGTTACCAATCAGGTTTGCATAAAATTTGAATTAAGAGATCTTCCATGATACAAGGATCCATAGCAATCTCTAATTTGTATCATCGAAATGCAGTTATAATTGATCATCTATACTTACTATATCATATTATAAAATTTCCGTAAAATTCTAGGATGTATGCAAATTGATAAATCAATCGATTCTTTCGTCTTTGGCATTTTTCATTCCAATAAAATTTCTGCGTCATTGCTGAATTTTATTCAACAATGGAATAAAAAGAATTTCAGAGGACAGTATTTGATTCGAATATACTTCATTCGCTTACAGTAACAGATTGCAGTACACTTTCACCGGATGAAACAATAATCGAGAAATTTTGTCGAATATGTCACAGTTTTGGTAGTTCCGGAGATCCGCTTATTTCTCCATGTCGTTGTACCGGTTCCTTGAAGTACGTCCATATATCATGCCTCCTAGTAAGTTTCTATCATTTAGCTTAGATCTGAAAATTCCATTAAAAAGTTTGCATAATTCTTCTGGGATAGTTTACTCAGACTGTTAGCATTTCATCTCTTATCTTGCCATCGTATAAATTTAATCGCTGTCTAAAAATATTATTTCTATCCTAGACTCAATTTGATAATTCAAGATCGTTTGAAAGAAAAACAATGAATTCACATAGTATTTGTTCAGCATTGGTTGACGATTTGTGCTCATAAATTGAAGCGTCCAGCAGCATGTGAGCTTTGTCTTTACAAATACCGCCTACGAAATGTCGTCGATGTAAGTCAGTATTAATCAACTGACATACTAAAAAGAGAAATAGTCAGTCCACAATTCCACTTTTTTCTTCATCGGAATGATGGAACGAATACGGGGAAGCATGTATCCGCTAGTTATTTTTTGTATCAACCATTCGATATGTCATCACACTATCCGTTCTTCATCCATAACTTCCAGAATCATAAAAAGGAACAGCTAAAACTTTCAGTGGCAAAATTTACGTTTACCATCGATTTCAAGACATGATTTACGTTATCTGATAGTGTTTACCATAGCTGCTGCGCTAATGTTCCTGTCCTCAGTTATATCATTGATTTGTTTTTGCATTGAAAGGAATTTAGTAAGAAACGATACGATGGATAGCAGTCCGTTCGTTTTCACTTTTTATTCTTACAATTTTCCAACGAACAAATTTAAAACTTCCAGTTATCAATTAGGAATAGCTTAATGAGTCGTTGAACTCTTTTTTCAACAAAAGTTGTAAAAAGAAATTTGAAATGGACGATTAGAAAGGTTTTCAAATGTGTGCTATTTCAGGGAATGAAATGAATAGACAAATCTCTCCAATAAAATATGTCTCAAAGTTTCATGAAATTCAATATTTATGATTAAATTTCAGTGAAATGGTTGTGAAAGCAAATGGTAGCAAATGGGAAACTTTGCTGAGCTCATCCACTTTTCTTCCCGCATTTATCTTCTTTCTGTCTTTTTTTGTTGCTATATATGCTCACGTCAAGGCTGGTCATCCTATGTATTATTCTGGTTACTTCTAATTGTTCAGAATTCATTTCTCAGTAAATAAGTATTTAAGTATAAGAGTACATGAAAAATAGATTATTTATGGCACCGTTCTTTGTCCTGACGTTTCCGTATTATTCGATGTGTTATAGCCTTTGACCGGAAAACTTTAAATAAAAAGTAAAAGGCGAGAAAGAAAAAGAAAAAAGGCTATTTTCCGATGGCTTACATTTTGCCATCTTAAACATTCATTTTTCGGTGTTATTTGTTCAGTCTAAACAAATAGGCTTGAGCAAATTATCATTCACACTATAATCAGAAGTTTGTCATAGAAAAACACCATTTGAATTGCAGAAATTTTCCAAAATCTATATTTTTTTTCAGACAAATACTAGCCTGATAAGATACTTATATCGTTTTTGGATTAATAACCAGAACTGGATAATAGAGGGATACCGACCAAGTCGTGACCAGCGTTACTGCCATAAAATGGAAGAGCTTCGAAGACGACTAAATGGTAACAGGTTTACTTGATTGATTTGGACAATATTTTTGTGAATATTCTTAACTTCATCTTCTTTCAAGGTGATGATAACAGTTAGTCTTTTTAAACAATGACACATACGGTGATTTGATGAATTTTAAAGCTCGTTAATGATACCTTCTAGTGTGCGGCTTTTCCTTTTCTTATTTCGAATTAGCATTTCTGTATGTTCACCAAAACAATCATTCATTCATCTGTTCTCATTGTTGTGAAACCGATCTCTTCCAAACATTGTTTTTTTTTAGCTAACTGTTTTGTTTCTTTTCATTGGCCTTTCCATATATCATATCTTGGCTCTTGAAACTATTTCTTTAACTATTTCTTTTCTTAAGCCAATCTAGAAACTGAGCAATCATAAAAAGATTACTGGTTATAATGGCAGTGATAAGGGCCAAGTGATAAAGTGGTGAAAGTATTAGTGTCATATATTTGTCCCTTCCAACAAATGTACGTTTTGCATTCTTCGAAATGCAGCACTGTTAAGGCATACCTATTTCATATTCTATACAGATGAAAATTATGATAATTATTGTATAAGGCATTATTACTGAAACAGTAATGAAAATAATAACAAAAAAAATAGTTGTAATGATGGTATAATGGTAATATAGTGATATGATAACAACCTGATCAATTTAGTAATGATTGCGCTGATAAAAGCAATAATAATAAAAAATTGGTCTAATGCAATAAAGCGTTCAATGAAATGAGCCCTTATTATAATTAAACATCTCTCCTGAGAAGAAATAGGTCATGGACTAGTTCGAAACCAGGAGAACAGAAACAAAGAAGAATCACTATCACCCTCCTTATTTCTGTTTATATATATATATGTATGCATGATTGGAAGTGTGGAAGGAGAGCGGATCAGATTTTCCGATCATCGGAAAATGCTTATTCAATTCATTTGCAAATTTGCAAATCATTTGCACATTTGCAAATTCGAATTAGACGCATTCTTTGCCCGATATAAAAGTAATTACTCTGGGATAGTAGAAGCTGAACAGGTTTGACTAAACAGATTACTTAATACCAATTATCTTATCCTTTGCTTTCCGCCTTGACAGGACCATTAAAATATCAATATTGTAAGGGTTAGCTTTGTGGTTGTTTGCTCAAGCGAGAAAATTAAACTTATTCTTCCTGTCATCTGTTTCACTTTCCAATGTCACGTTATTTCTCAAATCTCTTTCATTCTTTCTGAAAGTACAGTCAATCCATTGGGATATTTCGTGGATATATTTAATACGATCTTTTTTTCCGGTTTTGAAATACATAAATTTCTTCAGTTGCATTAGCTAGTAACGATAGATCATTTCCTGACCTTTGTGCATCTTATGAGTTCTTAGAGTAAGGGAGCTAAACAACCGGTTGCTTCCATACTGCGTCATTTTAGAAAATGACCATCTGAGCCCAGTCTGTTTGTGGGTTCTCATAATGGTCTAACTTTAATCACTTAGTCTTATCCAGTAATAGCATTAAACTGATTAAAAGCATGCAACATTTATAAAGTCGAAATATCCTTACAATGCGCCGATTCTGAGTGACCTATTAACTATGACAAAAGGTCACGTAAAAGGTGCTAAAATTGCGGATTAGGTGGAAGAACTGCAATTAACAGGTTTTCGAATTCATATTTATGAGTGAATTTATCAATACATTACTCGAATTTAAATTTATCCGGAACCTTTCTAAAAAATTTGGATTCCTTTCAGAAATTTCTGAGCACATTAAATAATACTTCCATCCATTCGTTTGTAAAAAAGCATTGGAAGGATCATTGGATGATTGGGGGGAGTAATTTTCGATGAGCTTATTACATGCAGATGTTGCTGTCATACCATGTTTACTCGATATCGATGATGATTTATTGCAATTTAGTTACAGCAGAAGCAAATATATGTACCCTCAATGTATCCGATGTTGCGTCATTCATCCATTGAATGAAGGCTGAAGCTGTGCATTTTGATGACAGTGCTTTGTCTCATTTTAGAGGGACAAAAATTGTTAGTGCAGCAAATTTTGTAGTTAAGTTAAAATGGAATAAAATATAAGAGATAAACTTCTGAAATATGTAGTATTCAAAGATGAATTTATTGATTGCTTTTTTTTGAAGAAGAAGTTGCTCACATCTTGAAGTTTATTGGGGGTAGTGGAAAACTGAGACTAAGGCTGTATGATATCAATCATTCAAGTCTTAAAAGTTAGATAGGTGGGATTATTTCCAAGCAAGTAAAAAAAGGCCGAACGGGGTTTTTTTTTTTTTTGCAGCATTCCGATATTTCAATAATATGATCCTTTACTGATACAGCAGAAAAGTACTTTCAGTCTCTCTCTCTGTTTTGCATAAAAGAAATCGATTTTAAATTTTAAGTGATTTATTCGAAAATTTCGAAAATAAGAGAGAAGAGATTGAAGGGAATTTCAAGAGATGAAGAGAGGGAAAACAAAAAAAAGTAGAATGCTATGTACAATTTCTATATCACCGCAAGGTATTAGCAGCAAAACAAAAATGACCCTGCTGTAATCCCTTTAGAGGATAATTAGGAGGGAAGGGTATAATAGAATTCAGCCCAACAAAACCAAAAGACATGGTCCAGTCGTTTTCAGGATGTCCTTCCGAAATTCATCAAAACTTCGTCTATTTTAGTCTCTTTATGGGACAAAATTGCCTACCAAAAAACCGAAAGAGACTAATCGCTCGGGTTGGATGAAACAGTAGGAAGGATTTTGTTAAAGTAAGAATTATAATTGTAGAATCATAGTGTGTTATCATCAAGATAGGTATCCCGGTTAAAGCATCTTTATCCAGTTTTAATAATCTATTCCTCAAGGCCCATTCCTCTTTTTCCTTCATTCATCCATCCATCAATCATAAAATATTTCATTGTTAGAAGAAAAAAGGCGCATTTGGTTCATTACATTTCACCAGATGTGTCTTCTACATCCATCGCTTTGTCCTTTCCATCGGACATCGGAAGAATACGAAGTGAATATCTTATTTTCTTATATGCATTTTCAGTTCATATATTACTTATTTCTAACATTATTAAAAGTCTATGAATTGAGGAAGATGTCTTCTGTTTCTCAAGATGGCAAGGAAAGGAAGAAATCCATTTATCAGTTTGAATTCATCAATAGTTTTTTTTAAACTGATAATTAAACTTCTCGACAGTTATTGTTTATTGTGTTCTTTCTGTATCTGATCTAAATCTTCAATTTCCTCCATCAAAAATTTTCTTTAGGTATTTCATTTGTGTAAATGTGCAACTCTCCTTGTCCTCTGTTCAGGTGTTCCGGTTGAGTTAATGACTGTTGGTTCCGTGAAATTTATATTTTACACAGTATGCTGATTATTCTCCCACAACAAACAAAAAGTAGAATTAGAATCGAACAGATACCATCGATAGTTTTAGCTCCGGTAATTATAATAGATGAGATGTCAGATCAACCGAGTAAGACAATATGGTTTCAGGTTAGCTACGATAATGTAATGATATCCATAGATCAAGAAAAAAAAAGAAACGAGATAATATAGTCCTGAAACACTAATTAAAAAGATTTCCGAACACTGTAAGATTCATTAATGATATGTTCTGATTATATTCGGAGTTTTCTGTTTTTTTTTCCAGAAAATTTCAAACATCTGTTATGAGTTTCGATCAGTCTTTCTTGTTTTTTCCCGGTTTTTTCACTTGAAATTTGGAAAGTTTTTTTTCTTGCCTTTGATGATCATTTGTAGAGCTTTGTGAAAGGCAACATTGTTGAATTGGTCATTTCCATTTTCCATTCATTTCAATTTTCATTCAAGACAAAGCAAATTTCCCATCCCTTTTTTATCCCATTAATTGATTTCATTATGTTTCCTTTCCCTTTTGAAGTATTTCTCATAAATTTCAACTTTCCAAAAAAAGCTTCATTCCCATTACCTATCTACCTGCTTTGACTCTAATCTGTGTGAAATATTTAGAATATTGGTCTACAAGCATATTGATGACTGTAAATCATCAGAAAACTCTTTAAAAAAAAAAAAAAGAAGACGATTTACCAAAATATTTTTGCATGTGCATAATCAAAACTGTAAAATTTTTGTTTTCCATCCATTATAATTATAATGAGTTTAAAGGAAGTGAGTAAGAAGAAAAGTCACCAATGACCAATGACCAGCTTCAAGACCCAATCAAATTTTTGCTGCAAGAGAGATCACAAACAGCATGTGAAATGAATCTTTTTCTGAGTGTAATAGTCTTAATTTGAAAATTGCATATCGTTTGAAATGATTGCATCAATATTGCTTGTGGAAACGATTGTCCAATTCAGAATGAAACTCAGATTGCTTCCTGCACTTTACATAATATACGCTTCTCAATAAATAATTCAATAAAGTTTCATTCCAAATACTACAAATTAAGTCCATTTTGGAAAAATTTAATTGCCTACCGAATTTTTGGATTATTTACTTCAAGATTGCTTATTCGACCGAATAAGTACACTAAAGTATACTCTCTATAAATCTCTTCTAAAAGCAATCTTTCTCTCTTCTACCATTGCTCTTTCTCTCTCCATTTTACCTCTTTAAACCGTAAGCTTCCGTTTTCAAGTATGTCCTATTTATAAAATATCTTTATATATAAAGAGAGTTAAGTAAAATGAGATAGCAGCACTCTCTCGAAAAGGAAATGCAGTTTTCAATACCATCCGGTATGTTATACTAAGAAGTGATTGGAACGGCACTTCCGGAAAGGTATTGCTTGACGACAGTTGAAAAGTAATGTGTTGATGAGCTGATACGAAACTATCATGAAGAAATTTATTACTATCGACCATGACAGAGATTGGGAAGGAGTTTGAGATCAACAAATAGTTATTAATCAGAAGTGATTGCTCGCCTATTAACTTTGAACATATTTAATAAATTTGCAATAAAATAGTGTAAACATAGGAACCGTCTTTTTTTATGCTTGATTTTCATTCTAATGTCATCTGGGAGAGTATGACAAATTCGCATTTCTTTTGTTCTATTCAAAATCTTCCTTCTAATACCTTGTTTTCTTCACCTTTAGAAGTTTCATTCATGAAAGTTGGGATTAAATTTAGAAAAATGTTAACTAATTTCAGACTTAAAAAAATTTTTAATTTCAGCTATCATTATTGGAAAATGAAAAGTTTTTTAGGACATTTTATGAAAGTATGCTTTTTTACATAGTACACTAATAAATGCTGTACGATGATATTTTCCTTTCCATTTGTCTTTGTCGTCTATTTCGTCGAATATTTTCATTTTGATAGATTTCATTCTAAATGTTTTTCTTCCATATAATACATTTTTATTTTACCATGAATGGAAGGATTTTACTATGAAATTAAAACATAAACAGGAAACATTCCAAAAGTTTTTTGCGCTAACATTGAAAGCGTCTTCCTACATTTAATAAACGAAATATATTCATTCTTATAATGATACTCTCTGAAAGATGCAAAAAAAAAAAATGACCACTTTGTTCGTTTATTAACTCAAAATATGGATCAGATTCATGTCCAAATGTGAGTAATAAATCTCTTTTCAGAGAGTTAAAATGTCTTCCATAAATGCTTATTATCTAACCTTTATTGAATCATAAACTTACTTTATTACTAATTTATTATACATATCGATATAAAATTCATTTTATCAAGTCCAAAGAAAATTGTACGTTTCAGTTTTCTAAAGATTTGAATATTAATGACCCTTTTACTATACTTGGAATGCTTTCTAATGAAATCTCACTTTTACCCACCACTTTAAGTGAAGTCATAGATTATAATATACTATCTTGAAATACATTGGGGAAAAATCAAATGACAGGAAAGGATTTCTCACTTTTCATTTCTCAGTTATTCTTTTCTTATCTTTTACTTCATCTGAAGTTTTGTAACATAAATTTGAACTCGAAGAATTTATTTTAAATCAGTAATTTGACAAAGAAGAAGAAACTAGTCATTGATAATTAATGATTCATAAAAAGATTTCAAACTTTGTTACAGCTACAAAAGAAAAAAAAAAGTGATTGATGGTTAAAGCGATGTCGATGGTATTTTTTTTCCAGATGAGGTTACACCGAATTATGGAACTGAAGGAGGAGCATCTGGAGAAGTAGTATGTCCGAGAGGAGGAGCAAGAGGAAAAAGAGCCGGGAATCTAAAGCCATCACCGAGAGCTCTTTTACTACAATCGTCATCGCTGCTGTCATCACCCTCCATTGAAGCATCCATATCTGGATTCAGTTCCACGATCGTTCAAGGCACCGCCATCAATACTATCACCACCACCATCCCCAAATACATATCAGCAACTGTTGCAGCTCCTGCCATTGTTTGAATTTTTTACCATTTTTTTTTTTTTTGTTGTATTATATTAAAATATGAGTAAACATTGACCGGAAAACACTTCAATTTTAAAGAAAATATTAAAAAAAGTTCTTCAAACAAGAGATGCTTTATTCCTTTGCGAAATTTTGGAGTTATTTAAAATATTTCACTCTTATGGACATCAATAATAAATTGTAATTTTTAAAAGAAAAAAAAAATTTATCAGAAATCGGAGCTGCTGACTAGTCCCTGCTTAGCTCTAAAGTAATTCTTAACGATCCACTGCGTTTTGATTTTCTTGTAAAGATTCGATGAATAAATTTTAAAAATTTTTTTAATTTTCATCTGTCATGTGCATTTCATCATTAACAAATAGCCACTGAAAGGACAATAAGAGGTGAAATTCTCAAGCTCAAGCCATTTTTTTTTTTTTTTGCAACCGCGGAAATTGAAACGTTATGCTTTACTCTCCAAATAAGCATCTCTAAAACCGATCAGTTCTGTTGTCATTATTTATTACTTATTACCTATTATTTATTATTTATTATTTATTATTTATTATTTATTATTTATTATTTATTATTTATTATTTATTATTTATTATTTACTATTAATTTATTATTATTATTGTTTATTTAATTATTTATCATTATTATTGTTTATTTATTAATTATTTATTATTATTATTGCCATCACCCTACTATAATTATAATGATAATTATTATTACTGCTATTGCTATCGCTACTGGTGCTATTATTTCCATTGTTGCTACCAGTATATATTAAGTATTGTTTGCATATTGTATATGCTGACACATTATGTTATCATC